GGAGCAGCGGAGTTCACCCTCAGACAAGGCACGAAGTGAATACACCTTTCCCTCACCCCGCCCTCCCCAGCAGCGGAGGTACGGGAGATGGCCTTCCAGTGGGCTACAGCATGAAGACCCAGACGGACTGATTTCTCCTCAGCCAGCGCAGTGGAGCTGCTCGTTGACATGAACCAGCTCAGCCTGGCTTCCTTCTCAAAACACCCGTTTACAGACAGCCGTACGTACAGACAGCACAGAGGCACCGTTGGCTGGAAGGGCAAACGCAGCATTCTGTTTTGAGTCAACTTGAGTTCTTGCTCGATGGCGGAAGAGGAGTAATGACCCACGGGGAGGGGGGGGGTAGAGATAAAGCAGTGCTTCAGCTCCCCTCTGCCCCTTCATGGGGCACCCTCAACCCTTAGAAGGTCAGGTGGACCGGCCATGCCGCACGTGAAGATTTTAAGTGGGCAGGCTGAGGAGGAAGCCTGTCAGCCCATCAAGTCCTTGCCATCAAGGAGCCACCCACTCACTTCACCCCCTCTGCCTGTTCCCTGCAAGTCCTCTTCTCAGGTAGTTGCCCAATCCCTCTTTCAGAAGCCACAACTCACGCCGAGGCACCAGGAAACTCAAAGAGTTAGGCTTTACAGGACCACCTTGGGTGGGTGGTGGGAAGTCAAGAGATGGAATCCTAGAGCTCACAGCCTAGGCAGCTGAAGACATGCCCCCCACCGACCCGCCCCAAACAGTGGGATGATTAATATCAGGGATATTCCAAATGGACCAGAAACAAGAGTGGTGTGGAGCTTTTGGACGGTTGTGAGATTTCAAAACAAGGTTGAGAATCTGCAGAGTGAAGATGCTGCTTGGTCAGGAGACAACGCAGACTTTTGTGCCACAGGGAGGGATGGCCGATGACTCTTGAACTTACAAGTTCACGTGCCCATCATCTATCTCTCTTGCTCACTGAACTGACCTGTTCTCCTGGTTCCGCGCTGTCAGAGCTTTGAAATTAAGAGCTCACCCTGGCTTTCAAATCCCTGATGGCCTTGCCACCCTCCCGCCCCAGCCCGATCCTCCTAGGTCTTTGCCCTCCTCCAGCTCTGGCCTCCTGAATGTGCCTGATGCTAAATGCTCTGCCACTGGCAGGCTGCCTGACGACACCCACCCTTTGCCAAGCTCTAGAATTCCCTCCGTAAACCTCTCCTCCTCCAAGGAGTTATCCAGAGCCTACCTTTCGAAACAAGATTTTGAGACTTGAGTGATTTGGGGCGGTGCAACTCCTCCACAGGCACCATATAAAACACAGGCTGTTACTACTACACACAGACTACTCAAAAGCAACACTTTCTGCTGGTGTGGCTGTGCCCAGATAGTTGAACTTAGCCTCGCTCTCTCACACACACACACACCGCCCCAGAGTAATAGAATTCTGTGCTCTGAGGCTGTCCTTTTATCCTGCAAACTTACAAGGCGTTCAAAACTATAACGAATTCCCTACCGCTCCATTCCCCCCACCTCCCGGACACCCTGCTCTCCAGTCTTGCTTCAGCCAGGTTCTCGCTGGATAAAAGTTTGTTTTAGAAATCTACCCACTCAATGCAGGACCACCCAGTGACTGTCTATGCCTCCATCCCACAGTCATACGGCATGGAAACAGACCCTTCGGTCCAACCAGTCCGTGCCAAACATAATCCCAAACTAAACTAGTTCCACCTGCCTGCTCCTGGCCCATACCTTTCCAAAGCTTCCCTATTCAGGTACTTATCCAAATGTCTTTTAAACACTGTAATCATGCCCACATCCACCACTTCCTTCGGAAGTTCACCTGTAATAAGCCTCAATTCACACAATTTACAGCACAGAAACAGACCATTTGGCTTGAAGGATGTGTCAAGTGTTTATGCTCCATGCATGGTTCAATCAGCAGTTCAGCATCTGCCTCCCACAGTCCACTCATCTCGACTCAGGGCTACCTTTACAGATCTATTCTAATGTCCAGCCTTTGGTCAGCGCTGATCAGTTATGGAATGCACCTGCTAGTTCCCTGCAAGCTTATCACCTAAATCCCTCAGCAGTCCTGACCCAATGTCAGTATTACTTGGCAACAGAGCAGTGATCTATTTCTGCCATTGTTCCCCGCTAACTCAATTGCAACTTCTCAGTGCCTTCCCAATTGAGTGCTTTGACTACATTCCTAACTTCGCCCCATTTCACCTTGGATAGTTAATCCTTTAACTTTTTAGAGCTTGGATTGGGTCCTTCCTCTCCTCTCCTCTACTCTAAACCACACAAGTTTAGGCCCCCTAGAAAGAGACGGCAAATCAGTTGTACAGCAATGACCAATCTCCAATGCAGTGAGAGAAAGGACTGGAGGATAGCACCATGGAGCAGGCATTACTGAGATCATAATATCCAAGGCAGTGAGGAAGACCCCCCCACCTCAAGCCTACCTCCTACCTTGGACTTGATCTGAATGCTTGTGGTATTAAGTACCCGGATAGTAGGAATATATGAAATAGAAATTGTTAGAAAGAGCAAGAGAGAGACATACGCAGAGCAGGCTGGTTGAGAAACCAATGAAGGAACAAGACAGTGAAGGTCTTGATTTGGTATTCTCCATCACTTTGGCCCGGACAAAGCAATGCACTTCCTCCTGGTTGCACACAAAACAGCTGCTGCATATCTACGAGGAGACAAGATAGGATCGCAGTTTGCGCTGCTCCTTCGCCAGGTCACGGGGTGCACCAGCAGCACCTGTCCAAGGGCTGCACAATCCTGCACCATCACCACATCACACCCCCCCCATCACTCTGGAGGGTGGTGCAATTCCCGAACCGCCCTGCGGGCGAGGCTATGTACACGCATGGGGGCAGACGTGAAGAACAGCCGCTGTTGTTACAAAGATGGCGATCCGGTTATTATCACAGCACTGTTTGAGGGATCTTGCCACTCACGAGTGAGCTACATTAGGACGCCGTGCTGCAGGTGGGAGCAGGATTGGGTGTGGTGGTGGGAAGATGCCCAGGTTTGACATCTGCAATTCCAGTTGGTCTCGACACTCCATGTGAATTTGGATTCTCAAACACTAGACAGGACAGATGGTCCATGGTGGGGTGGGGTGGGGGGGGGGGGCCGGTACTGACGGGGGTAAATCAAGATGGTAACAGGGACGACCCTTGCTACAAGCCAGGAAACTGCCTGCCACCAACCCTTGCATCACTGACAGCACCGCAGTAAACCTCCAACTCCGTACCCTTGCTCCTAACTTGACTCTTGGCCCGCTCCCCATTCTGCGCTGAAGTAACCTCATCTACCCACCTAGCTCCCTGCAACCGGTTCCAGACAACAGGTACTCTACAGAGTGGTGAGACTGGAGAACCAACACCTCCCCACCTATCAACGTGTGGCTGAGGCGACCGGTACGGGCAGAATCAAGGGGCAACCGAATGAACCCACAAGACAGACAGAAACAAGATACAGAGATGGGACTGGATGAAGTATTGCAGTGTGGAGGAGGCTCAAATGGAGCGTGAATATCATTTTGGACAGACCAGCTGAGCTACATGGCTCATTTTCAGACTGTCAACCCTCAGGTACAGTGCCTCTCGGGTTTGGAGCAGATGGACAAATGGCCTAATTTTTTTTAAAAAAAAGATTAGTCCCAGCCTCCAAAATAATTGCACTGCAAACATCCAGCATCTGCCTACAGACGTATTTCTGTCTGCGCATGTCACACTGCTGTTTGCTCAGCGTTCAAATAAATTCGAGAGATAATCTGGATAAGCAGCCTGTTACTTAGTTAGAGAGCTGTTTGCAACAGTAATGAGAAGCAGAGGTCACAGGACCAAACTCCCAGGGGATGGTACTAGTCACACCCTCACTTGTTCATCTGTCTCCTAAACAATCCCCTATCCGTACCATGATGTTACCTTCAAATATGAGCACTCAGAATCTTTATTGAACTTGTGCAGAAACTCATTAAATGCCTTCTGGAAACCCACACGTGTAACATTTATAATGTTCCCATATCTACCATGATAAAGTTACCTCCTCAGTTACATTCAACCAGGGTCAGAACAAGCTGCCAGAAGCCCTGAGAAATTAGAAGGCGCCTTATGAAGTGCAAATTCTTTTATTTAAATGCAATGTTTGGTGCGTGGTGCTCATGTTAACAAGACGTGAATGCAGAAAGATCCCAGAAACCGCTGAAGAGATCAACGACCACTTCGTCATCTAGGGCTAGCTGAGGGAAGAAACGTTGGTGCCAGGGCACCAGGGGCAACTCCCCTTCTCTTCTTCTGGTAGTGGTCACCTCCCACTGAACAGGGAAGGTAGGGGCAGGGTGGGTAGGTGGAGTGGGGTGGGGGTGGGGAGGGAGTTTGGGGAAAGACACCCAGGTTTGATATCTGCACTTCCCTCTGCTCTCAGTACTCCATGTGGATTAGGAGGTTCAAACACTAGGCAGGATAGATGGTTTGACCCAATAATCTTCAGATATCCTGAGGCATTGGGGGTCAGATTGGGAGATAGAAAGACAGAGAAGGGAGGGGAAATGGAGACGTCATCAAATGAGCCAAACCATCAACACAAAGCACAGCAAGAGCACTTGGAAAATCGAAGGCTCTGCATTTCTGTGATGACTCAAGATCAAGCCAAATTGCCAGGCAATCTTGGAGTGGATTCCCAACACTTTTTGCTCCGAGATTCTCTCACCCTGCTTCCCACTGAGATTTGCGATTGGGAACACTAGCCAGGTGAAACGATGAGAAAAATGACTACCCGGATGAAACCAAAACTAACACTCCCACATGCACATGCAAGAAGGGGGGGGGGGGGGGGGGTGGGTGGGGAAAACAGAGGGGCTGCAGATTAAGGGAGGGGAAGGAAATTCATCACCTCCCAAACCAGAGGTTACTGTCCTCATTGAAGCTGCTCAAACTGGAAATCATGAATTGGACAACCCTGCAAGCCTCAGCTTATAAAAGATAGAGGACTTAGTGCGAAGGAATGTGACTAACCCCACAGCAGCAGCAGTCTCTAGGACTGGGCGGAGGTATGAACCATACACGCACAGTAGAATCTCACGGAAGGTGCATCGATGGTGAGCTCTGTCGGTTTCCAACTTCCCCCACCCCCTCCCCTCAACCTCCATGTTTGGAAGCACATGAAACAAATCAAAGGACACATGTCTTGCGCGTGTGTGTGTTTGCGTGTGTATGGGGGTGGGTGGATGGAGGTGTGGGAGGGAAGAAAGAAGGGGTGGGAGGTGGGGTTTGGGAAATATAGTGTGAAGAGCAAGAAACTCATGACTGTGGTGCAACTGGAAGTAAAAGTGTATTCGGGAGCACCCCCCGAACAAAAGTAACCCACTACTAAATTCATGGCCCATCAACAGGACGGGGCAGGGAACGGAAGGGAAAAAAATCTCACCTTCTGCTCAAACATAACATCAGAGTCCAACGACTTTACAAAAATATAAAAATACACAGGCACTAAAAAAACAACCGGTTATCCCAAAAACCCTCTAAAAAGGCACTACTTAACTGTAAAAATTGAAAGGAGGGGGGGAAGAGGGAGCTGCACAAAAATATCTATGTTATATATGCTCTCTAAATATAATCAATATAAAATGCTCAAAAACTTTAAAAATTGCACTTATACACTTAAAATTCAACAGTTCAATTCAAGCTTGAAAAAAGAGAAAGGTAGAGGCAAGAATGATCCAATGTAAAATGTTCAAAGATCATTTTCTTTTCTAAACAGTTTGAGTAGGTAGTATTAAAAAGGGGGGAAAACACTGGAAGAAAAAGAGAGAAGTTAAAAACCGTTTTTTTTAAAGAAAGAGCCACTTGCTCAGATTTCTTTTAAAAGTCTGACCCAAAAACAACTCTAAAGCTAAATATATAAAAGTCATAAACAAAGTGCGCTTTCGGGAAATCTATTCACGCACACCTCTAACACTTCAGATTAATTTTTAAAAAATATACAGAGTATATAGCTTTTCATTTTAAAAAAAGGAAAAATATTTTGTAACTCTTAAACACTTGTCAGCTTTAAAAAATGTTTTCTTGAAAAAAAAACGTTGGTGCTTACTTCTGCATTCATGTTGATCTTATAGAGAGGCCCAAACTGGTTGTTTTTAGGGAAAAAGTGTCCACAAAACTGCGAATATAAAAAAAATCAAAAGTACAAAAGTTCAACAGATGAAACTTCGAGTAGGGAAAACCTTGCAAACAGTTCAAGATTGTTTTAAAAAAGCCCGAAAATGGACTACTTTTCTTTCCTCGGGACGCAAGGGGAGGAGGATGTGCAATCAGTGCCCGTCTTGACATTGCTCTGACTGCCATCTCACATGCAGCAGCAACCCGCTTTGCTGCCACTGAACTAGTGGGCAGAACGTGCACTAACCCTCCCACAGTGGCCTCCCAGTCACGCCGCAAATGGAAGTCACCGCAATCCACTCGTTTGTATTCGTGGGGAAAATAAACACAGTGGATTTAATTCATGAAAATACAGGCTTAGCGGCCACATTAGAATTTGACTCCAATCATCTTGGGCCTGTCCGCTGATCAACATCTCCATTGGAGCAGCAAGGAGGCCAATTTTTGATGCTCCCTGATCCCTTCAGAAGGAAAAAAAAACACACACAAAAGAATAAGTCTTTGGATTCACAGCCAATTAATTTGTTTTCTTTTTAAGAAGTTGATCCTAATCTCAAGTTAGTTTTAAGTATTTCAAGTTGCAGATGTAAATGCCAACAGCAGATAGGTGTTTTCCATTTAAAAACAACAAAAAGTATGTTTTAAAAAAACATTTTAAAGCGTAAAACATTTTTTCAAAAAGTCACCAATGTTTTCAAAACAGGAAGCATGGGGGAAAATGGCCTTGAATATTAAAAGAAGTTGAATACAAAAAATAAGTGTCACTTTCCTACTAAGTGGAAGGTTCACAAAAATAAATTGTTCCTAAAATGGTAACAAAACATTAACATTTTTGGGACTTATTTGGGTGTCTTTCTAAATTATTTCAAGACCAATACTGTTTGTTGTATGAAAGACAGAAAAAAGTGGACATTTGAGGTACAAAATATTTCACTTTCCTCTTTTCAAAATGCCAGATACTCGTAAAGCACAAAACATTCTAATTCAAAAGAGGTAAAAAGCAGAAACGTTCAACTTTCTCCCAATAAAATTTCTCTCTCCAGTACTTCAAACTTCTCCCACGAAATACACTCGCAAGGGTGCAAAAGTGTAAAAACACGCCTTAAAAAGTACTTCATGTCCTTTTTACGTAGAAAACACTCAAAAAAATGGCATCTGAACTGATTATGATAGTGTAAAATTTCATATCAATGGCAAAATTGCAAAAATATTGTTCGCTATGAAAAAAAATCACATTTCTAAAAAGCTTTCCGTTGTAAAGTGTAAAATGCAAATAAAATATCAAAAAGTAAAGATGTCAATCTTTACAAAAACACAAATCTAAGATAGTTCCCCCTCTCCAAAAAAAAGGGCAAAACATGGGATGTATTTTTGGCCAAGTTTAAAACCAGGGAGCCCTCCAAAGTAAAAATGCTTTCCTTTAAAAAGTGCTCATTATACGTGTTTAAAAATAGTGACTGGCTCTAGACAGGGATGTATTTCAGTTTTAACAATTCAATTTGCAATCATAAATATATATAAACACATTAGAGGTTTGAATTTATAGTATTTTAAGGCGTTTACAAGACACTTCATTTCTTATTTTATTTATTTCAAGTTTACACTCATATTTACACTTGGGAAAACAATTATTTTCATTTGTAATTCATTTTAGTATAAAGAAGCAAATTTAATATTATTTTAGAAGAATGAACTCTAAGACAGAAATGAATGCACTATTTGATGTTTCTTGCTTAAGCCAAAACGCGATTATAAATAAAATGTGATATTTCATGGAAAATATTAAACATGAAGTTTACATTAAATTATAATTGTATTTAGTTATAACTAACCAAATGCTTGGTAATTTTAACCAACTGAGAAGCTCATTAAGTATATTAAAATTAAACTGTATTAGAAATAAATACATTTACTTAAATTCACAATTAAATCTTTCCACGTGGAATGTGCACATTTTCAATTTGATTCTGTGTTCTGATATTAAACACGAAAATAATTTTCTTTCAAATCTATGATTAGAAATTGTAATTACTTAATTGAAATGTACATTACAATTAGATTTAGTCAGAATGTACACAATTTTCCACAATTTTTTTTAAAATTGGCTTTGATCAGAAATCAAGCAAAAACCTGATACTAACATCAGCAAATCGGCAATCCTTTTTGAAAAAGTGATGATAAAGCTATTAGGTTTAATTATGACAATTTGATCAAATATTGAGGGAAAAAAAAGACTGTTTAAACACAATCACATTATCTCTCATGTTTATATTCTCAATCATACTTTAACAAGAAAATTTTAGCTTTTAGTAAGAATTTACTCCATATTGAGGGACTTAGATTTTGTTGTTATAAATTGCACAATTTACCCAGAAAGACAGTTGCTTTAAGTTTAACAAGAATTCAATAAATATTCATTTAGTTATGCATCCATAAAGTGAAATATAAATTATTTGGTTGTAATTAGGGGAGGGAGGGATTTTTGGGGGTTTGATTTACCAAATATTCATTACCAGATTATTATACTGATTTTCAAAAATTAACAAATCTAAAATTGATAAACACTTATTTTAGTTAACAACAAAGGAACATCTATTTCACCTACATGAAATATTCATTAATTTACACTCATTTGCAGTTTAGGTAAAATTTCTATTTTTTTTGATAGAAATAGAATTTAGATGCCAATAACTGCCACATTGATAATCAGATTAGGTCTGAGATTATTCTGCAGACTGCAATTTGAACTTGAGGGAGACAGAGAGTTTAGCATTAGGAAACAAGAATTTACATTAAAACAGATCTGAACTTTTTAAAAATCAAACTACTGACTGAATACATAATTTTTAAAAATTAAGGCACAAATTTAGTTAGAATTGAGGCACACTTAACAACCAGAGTTTACATATTGCAGATTACAATTTAGCACCTCCAGGAATTCCAGGTTTAAAGCTTTTACAAAGCAGCTATTTAATTAGGTAACTAACCATGTCATTTATATATATTTATTCATTCGCTCAAAAGTGACAAGGGCCCGGATCTCCTTCCCCGGCCACAATTTCACACCCAGAAGGGAAAAAATAATGGACAATTAAGATCTTTTTCAAAAAAAAAACCCACTAACACGACCTGCTCTTCCC